TATTTTCTATGACAGGTACTTAATTTGTCATTAAGAGCATTAGTGACAAGGGTTTTATTAACGATTTAAATTTTATCACTAATAATAATTTGTAACGAAAAATAAAGATTTAATGATCAATAATTTAGTCACTAAATATGAAATTTTTGGTAGTGACACAAACAATCAATTAGGGATGGCAATTGTCTCTGAGACCTGTGAAGCTCCGTAGATATCTCCACTGTGGGGTTGAAGATTATAAGAATATTCCTCCCTACAAAGTAGGGATAGAGGCATTTTTTTTCCTATGAAATTTCATGGGAAATTTCTTTTGCTCTGTGGAGAGCCGTGAAGACCTATGGAGATCCATATATAATAAAAATGTATATAAATTTATTCTTATATATATTTTTGTAAATCTATTACCAATTACAACTTAATTGGCTAACCCAACCTAACCTAAATTGCCCAGTGTAATTTCTTTTCTAGTTTTAGTCTTCCCAAACCCAATTCAATAACCCAAATTAACCTGGACATGTATGGCAGTTCAAGCATTTTTTTTTTTTTTTTATGAATTTGCTGCTAGATCTATTGCATGTGTATGGCAATATGTATTTACTGCAATTGATTACTAGATATTGTTTTGTTGCACTATATGTTAATGTATTTACTTGTTTGAAGTTGTTTAAATTTTTACTTTTTTATTTATCAAGAAAAAAAAAAGGTTAAATTCTATATATTTAATACTTAGCAGAAACTTCGAATATCCGTTGGGACCTATCATTCTTTGCAAGTATGGTGATGGTGGCCATTTTTGGCCCTCCACCAAAAATCTCCATGGGAATCCCTATATTTGTCATTGGCAGAGATGGGAATGGGGAGGGGGTCTCTACCCCCATGGGAACCCATTGCCATCCCTACAATCAATGAGAAAGATCTCATTGGGTTTGAAAGGACTTGGGCCAAAATTCGTCAATGGTCTAACAACTCTTTTGGTCATAAGTTCTCAAAAACTCAAATTCAAGTTGTTAATAGTGGTTGGTTATAACAATTATATACCAATCACACTTATACTTTCATCGTAATGTGAGATCTAAGACATCACAATCTCCTCCACTTAAACATTTGATATACTCATCAAACCCAATTATAATAAGATAATGTCCATTGGTCTACAAGCATTAGATTCACCTCAAGTTATAAGAAGTCCATACTATCATTGGTCATGATAATCAGCATAAACCTCTATTAGCGAAAAATGGCTACTCTAATACTAACGA